GGGCCTTTCCTCTCTGGTGGGCAGTAGGCAGGTGAGTTGGGGGGACACTGGTTTGTGTCACAGGAACGCTGCCAATGGCAAGGCTCCCAGAGTCACAGTGCCACTGTGATCCCAGGGGATCACATGGAGAGCTGAACAGGGCTGGCAGCACACCCAGCAGTGCAGGGGGCTCAGACCCCGAGGGGGTACAGCTAACACCCAGCTCCATCTGGAGGGGAAACTGAGGCAGAAATGTAAGACTGGGAGGGACAAGGTTAGGGTTAGGGTGCAGGAGTGTTACAGGAAAGTGCCAAGGCCCAGGTGAGGATGCCAGAGGACTGAGAGGCAGGAACACATGGTCCACGGCCCCAGGGCCAGGTGTTTCCCTGTTTACACCTTGGGCTGTGTTACAATCGGGCCGGGGAGCAGATCAGCACTCTGAGCCTGCGGCTGCCTGTGCGAGGCTGAAGGGGAGAACCCCAGTGCAGCACAGTCAGTGCTGCAGGAACCCGCTGTGCGGCATTCCGGCCTGTCCTCAGAGACAGGGACAGGGACAGGCACAGGCACAGGCACGGCTGGCAGAGCCCCTGCCCTCTGCCACCACCACTCCCACTGCCCCACCGCCACCCCCAGATCCCCAGGGCAAGGGCATCCTGAGGCCACACTGCTCTGGGGACGGATGAATGGCAAGTGGGATGAGTGGGATGTGAGAGAAGAGCCTTTGCTTTTTGTGAAGAAGGGAGACGGAGAGTTTCATAAATCCCCATGGGCTCGGGGTGCCCTTACTGCCAGAATGCGTCAACTCCAGAAGCAAAGCTGCTCAGGGGTGGTGTGATGGGTGATAGTGCTGTTGCTCCAGGATGCACCCTGTGCCCAGCCCCTTGTGTTGGGAGCGATTGCATGGCCATGGGCTGGCTAGTGCAGCCCAGCTCCAGCAGCCCCGCCTGGCTGAGCCAGCCGAAGTGATGGTGGGGCAGTCGGCTGCGGGGCGGCGGCGCAAGCGCACGTGGGCAGCACTGGGAGCCTGTGGGTGTGTGGCAGAACTGAGGGCTGCCACTAGTGCTGCCCGTGGGAGCAGTGTGGCACTGAGCCCCTGGCATGGAGTGGGGCACCAGGAGAGGCTGTGAGCAGCAGGGAGAGCCAGGACCAGCACGGCCCACAGCTGGAGTAGCACAGCAGGGCAGTCCAGTTTCTTGGCTGGAAATGCCCAGGCTGGCTCCCCTTTCTCACCTTGGGCACGGGTCACACTCAGTCTTGTTCCGGGGTTTGTTGCCGTGCCCAGCACTGCCAGTCCAGCCCTGCCATGGTGTTACAGCATGTGCTGGCAGGCGTGGGCAGCTGGTGAGGACTCCAAACGCCCCGGTCTGTCCTGTTCGCAGGGAGATGTCGGCACCGGGATTAGCGCTGGGGCCCTGCCATGGCACGTCACCGTGGAGAAGCTGCTGCAACCACAGGTCAGACTCGGACTCACACTGCCTGGAGCTGCTCTGGTGCTGCCACGGCTCCACTGCCACGGCTTAGCCCTGGCTTGGGATGCTCCAGCTGCTGGAAAACTCTTCCAAAGCACCAAGCACAGACCGAGCTGGTGGGATCGGCTCAGACCGGGTGTCTGATGTGAGGAACTGCTCCGGGACTGCTCAGCTCCAGCCTCTGGCAGTTCTGGCACTGGCTCTGCCTGCCCTGAAGGAAAAGGGTAAAACTAAACCCTCTACAATCTCCAGCCGTATTTGGCCTCCCCAGAGCTGGGCTTAAGCATAAGAAGAGGCTCAGAGCCTGCAAGGATTTTCCATAGGCATGTGCTGGAGATACCTTTCCCCAGCCCTGCCCCATTTACATTAATGAGGCATTTAACTCCCAAACCTGTTTGAGGACCACTGGATATCACCCAAATGTCATCACTCTGGAAGGGGCCTCGACAGTTTTAACCCTCTCGGTGCCACCTGGCTGCATCTACTGGGAGTAGCTTTGGGCAGCCACCCTTTCCCTTTGCTCTGAGCGAGGCTGGAGTCACCTCTCCAGGCTGACACCCGCACACTAATGGATTTCTGCTGTCCAGAAAATCTCTGTGCAGCTGGATTTTTCTCCTCCTCAGCTGTTTTCCTCACACAACTCCTCTATCACCACCGACTTTATCCCATCTGGCAGCAGCTGCCACGGGAGCTGTGGAGGAGCAAGAAGTTCTGCTGTGCCTCCTGTCCTGGAAGGGCTGGTCCCAGTGTGCCGGCGGCCCCTCCCGTGAGTCAGCAGCACCTGCTGCTGCAGGTTTGTTTCGACACTTCTCCCCAGCTCATCCTTTGCCGAGGCAGTGCTGTGCCTGCAGTGCTGCTGCACCTTCACCGTGTTTTTGGTACCGCGGCAGCTCTGCGGTGCCTCACAGCCAGAGCTGTGGGGCTGTGGGGCTGTGGGGCTGGGGCCATCCATGCCCGCGAACCTGGGCACCGTGGCCACAGGTGTATCCCAGGGCTGGAAGGTGAATGGGGGCTGCCGTGAGCAGGGGACTGCTGGTGAGGGGGGGCTGCCTTGCTTGAGCCCTGACAGGGGCTGGCCAGGCTCCCACCACTTGCCATGAGTCTCCTGGGAACACAGTTCCCACGGCAAGAGACCCAGCCTCCTGCCTGACCCTGGAGCCGCAGTGGTGGAGGAGGGGATGTTGCTGAACCACAGATTTTACAGCCTGTTGTTCCCATAAACTCCAAGCTGAGTTTCTCAAACACTTTGGGTGTATGATGTTCAGTGTGTGCCAGTCCTGACTCTCAGACCATCCCAGATGGTTTTCTGTGTTTGAGGTGACTCAGGAGTTCAGCACAGTTCAGTGTTTAACTCACAGTGAAGTAACCCATTTCTGTATCTCCATGGCTCTCTGCCTCCTGAGGATTATTCATACACAGAGAAAAGGTGCTGCACCTGCTCCAAGAGTAACTGCAAACAGCACCTGCAGAACACCTGTGCCTTTCCAAAGAATATAAAGTGAGTGTTCATCCCAAAAAGTGACTGGCAGGATACGTGTCCTGAGTTATCAACGGGAGAGTCCTGACATTGCCGCTGCTGGGAGCACTGGAGGTCAGCAGCCTTGTTCTCCACCAGGGGATATTTTCCTTATTGGAACTGCAGTTCTCAGTATAAAGTCTGACCAGTCCCTACACCTGCTTTTGTGCAGGGTTGGCACCACTGTGTTTATTTTCCAAGGCTTTTGTTTTGCTCTGGGGAGGCTTTGGAAACACAAACCCCTCACTCACATCCTGGTCTGTGCTGGCTGTGGGTGCCTTCCCTGGCCATGGAGGCAGGTGCAGGGTGATGCTGTGGGCAGCAGCTGGGGGGGGTCCCTCCTTTCAGGGGGCTGATTGCATGATTAGCACCCTCTGATCTAACCCAGCTCCAGGGGCTGGAGGGCTGCTGGGAGTGGCAGAGGTACTTGAGCAGCCTGAGAGGAAGGGGAAGTCCTGTGAGTGGCTCAGTAGAGGGGAAGGAGCTGTGCCAGCAACAAGATGAGCTCTGGCAGCCTTTCTTCAGCATTGCTTGGAGCATTAGTGAGCAAACCCTGCAGAGAGCTGAGGTCTCTTGTGTGCTGCTGCATGCACAGGTAGGGGTGCAGAACAGAGGCACTGTGGTATGTCCTGCTTTGTGATGTTTGCTGGCTTTCCCAGGGAGGTGACACCCACACCCCCCTGTATGTTCCTTGCAGGGTGTCCTCTGTGAGAGTGGAGGTCACAGCTGACCCATGTGCATTGAGAGGCAGGTCCTCTGTCAGCTGTAACTGAGCCAAAACAGCTCCTGTGTCAGCACCACCAAGCTGGTAAGGAAGGAGTGTGTGGTCAGGTGTTCCTTAGCTCTGGACTTTGCTGTTATTCCCACCACTACTGTAGTGGGGACAGCCCATGCCTGTAACTCCCAGGGAGGGTGGCACTGGGGTGGGGCTCCTTGGGCTGCTTCATTCTCCTCTAGGTCTGTTCTGTCACTGTTGCCCATGGGGCAAGGCTGGTGTGGAGTGTTGGTATTTGATGCTGTTAGAGGTGATAGGGACGCACCACAGTTCATCCCGGGCATGTCACTGACTCCTGGAGCAGGGCCTGAGGCACAGCACACCTGGTTGTCTCTTCTCCTGTGGTCTCCAAGTGACTCCTCCAGGAATAGAACTGTCTGGGGACACCTGAGGTTCCAGGCTTTTTGGTCCCTGGCTGGTTAATGCTGTTTTCTGAAAGGCATTTTTGCTGTGCTTCTGCTTGCACCCGCAGTCCCCGTCCCCCCAGCCTGCTCCCAAGACAGGTCCTGAATCATCCCCCCATCCCACTTCTGTCAAAGGGCTGGGGGGACTTGGCCAGGGGGCTCAGCACTGCTGAGAACCCACAGCCCTGGGGCAGGCACAGGCGAGTCCTATTGGCTCTTGGGATGCCTGCATGGAGGTAACTGGTAGAGTGCTGATTTAAAACCAAGAAGACACAGCAGTTACGAAAAAATATATCTTTATTTTTTTCAGTTTATCATCTATTTAAATAATTCAGTTAAAATAGGTTTTATTGCACGTTAAAGAACCTTCCTGGATTCTCACTGTCCTCTGTAAAATAAGCTCATAGAGAAAGGAGACTCTTATGCTCCTGCCCCCTCACACACTCTGAATCACTCTGGCTCTGCAGACCCCCAGCAGCCACTGTGCAGTGGGTTATGCTCATCCTCGGCATCTACACAGTGTGCTGTAGGCAGTGGGGGGTTGGCTGTGGCAGAAGGAGCAGGATGCAGGACTGGGAGCAGGGGAAGGGCACTGCCAGCAGGGTGCAGGACTGGGAGCAGGGGAAGGGCATTGCCAGCAGGGTGTAGGACTGGGAGCAGGGGAAGGGCATTGCCAGCAGGGTGTAGGACTGGGAGCAGGGGAAGGGCATTGCCAGCAGGGTGCAGGACTGGGAGCAGGGGAAGGGCACTGCCAGCAGGGTGCAGGACTGGGAGCAGGGGAAGGGCATTGCCACCGTGGCAGGGGCCTGAGGTCCCTGTGCGAGCCCTGGCCTGTCTGCACCGCAGGGAGAGCAGGGCTGGGAGCACAGGGGGTGAAACGTGGGTGCTGATGCTGCTCTGGATCCGCACAGGTGTGGGCAAGGTGAACAAGGCACAAGTGGGGTGAGGCATCTGCTGGCTGCCACTGCAGCCCTGCCTGGCTCTGCCATCCCCCAGGCACTGCCAGCTCCAGGGCAAGCAGGTGGGGAACTGGGTGGCTGCAGGAGGAAGTCCTTGCCTGAGGTTGAGCAGGAAGAGAGCAGCCAGCTCCCTATGAGGCTTCTGGGAAGTCACTTAATGAGCTCCTTGGAAGTTATGTTTAAGGGCTGGCTGAGTGATGTGGAATGGAACAAGCTTGCAGAAGATGCACTTCATTACTGTGCTCTGAATTGGATTTTGTGCCCTTTCAGATGATTCTTTGGGGATGACTCAGGGTCTCCTACCCCAGCTGTGAAATAACTTGTTCTACAACCCCATCTCTGGCTATCCTGGCTCTTCCCCTCAGAATAAAGAGCTCCTCAGGCTATCATTGGAAACAGGTTTCTAATGAAAATTCAAGTGAGGGCTCTCCTTTTATCTGTTTTGTGCTCTTCCCAAGCCTCTGTCATGCCCCTTCCTACAAATGCCAGGCTGCATTCCTGACAGCCTGGGGTTTTTCCCACAAGTCCAGCCATACAGCAGAGAGTAATTAGTGTTAATCCTCAATGTGGTATCAATCTGCTATGGAGCAATTCCTGCTCACATGCAATGGGGTGTGTGCAGCTGGTGGCTAATGTGTACCTCTGCCTGGTGAGACATCCCAGCTCAGCACCACATCCTGCTCCAGCCATCTTCTGCCATCATTAACTTGAGAACTGGTGTTGCTTGAAGCTCCTAATGTCTCTGAGCCCTTGGCTTTTGTGTCTGAGCTTTGCTCAGGGCAGCTTTGACTGCCAGTTCAATCCCTGAATTAAGGGTCTGACCCAACAGCCCTTCAGTGCTTGTTTGGATCCACGCCTTTCACCTTTGGTCCATCACCCACCTCCTCGGGCCCCTGGGTGGGTGTGTGACCGGCGTCAGTGGGGGCCGAGCTCCAGCGTGTCGGGCAGCTGCTCGGTGAAGGCTGTCTCCAGCGCAAAGTGCTGTAGTTGGGGGGGGGATGCCTGGCAGGGGCTGTCCTGGGGAGCGGCAGGCGCAGGGCATGTTGAAGGTGGGCAGGTCCCCGTGATGCACAATCTCCAGTCACCCGGCCTGCGGAGGCTTCCCCGGCCCGGCCCGTTTGCGGTCGTTCCACCACTTCTTTGCCTTCTGCCACTGGCGCCGCATGACGATGGAGAGCGAGTCGATGAAGAAGACCTCGACGATCTCGATGACGCAGACGACCGAGCAGCTCATCCAGAGGCCCAGCTGGCCCCCAAAGTTGGACAGGAGAATGACGAGCTGGAGGAGCAGAGAGCACAAGGTTATGGGCGGGCATGTGTTGGTGGTGCTGTCACAGTGCGCGGGGCGGCTGCAGCGAGCCAGGGCATGCTGAGTGTTCCCAAACGCAGTGGGCCCAACTCTGCTGTCTGCAGTGTTCTCTCTGACTCTGCTTCAGGAGGAGCTCAGAACTGGGCTTACTGCAGGCAGCCCATGGGCTGCCCCAGCACAGCGCTCTGTCAGGGCCAGACAGGCAGAGACGTGGCCCCAGATAAGGGCTTCAAAGGGCAGGACCAGCCCCAAGGTGCATCTCCAAGATAGCTTCCTGCCTCTGCCTGGGTGGGATTGCTGCCCTGTGTGGGAGGAAGTGCTGTGTCTCCCAAAGGCTGAGCAGGGATCAGCCGTGCTCACTTACTGTGTTGGCAGGATTCTCCGAAATGAATCTCTCGTTCAGGTCCTTGTAAAACACCATGAGGTTGGCGAGGTCCGTCCTGAGGGAAGCAGGAGGCAGCAGAGGGTTTAGTAAAACAATAACATGAAACATACTGAAAAACTATGCAAATAACCAGTTGGACCAGTAGGGCTGGGCTGCTCCAAGGGAGCTTTTTCCCCAATTGCCATCATTAGGGTTGCCAAGATTGTATCAGAGCTGGAGGTGCAAGGCAAGAACTCACAGGGGGACTTACTTGTTCAGTTTCTTGTTGAGCTTTTGCCCTTTGTCCCAGGAGAGAACTCGAAGCATCCAGTCCTGGAGAACAGACAGAAAATGTTGCTATAGCTATGTGTGCTTGTGCAGAGATCCCCTGAGAAGGGAGTCGTGCTTTATGCCTCCTCGGGCCAGTGTGGGTGCCAGAACTGAGTGTGTGACAGGTCAGCTGTCCCAGAGGAGATCTCCCAGACCACAAGCCAAATTTCAGTTTAATGGTGAACTCTTGGAGGGGAAGCCCTGACCTGGACAATACAGACTGGCCTCTGAGAGCAGCATCCTTGAGTGCTCAGGACTACCCCGGGGCCTTCTGCTTCTGTGCTCTGGGGTTACTCAATGCCTTGTGCCAGGCTGCTGTCCCAGGAGAGCACAGCTGGGGACTGACCTCTGACACGGTGGATGGCCACTGGGCGATGCTGGTGGTGAGCGCCCACTCCTTGAAGCTGCAGAGAGAGGCAGGATGTCACTTGTGAGCTTCAACTCCCACCACACTCAGTGCTTTACCTCTGGTCATCGCCAAGACTCACCTGCAGGCGTCTTTGCAGATCTGCTGGCAGCCCAGCTGCTCCTTCACGAACTTCTCGTGCAGTCTGTAGTAGCAGTACACTGCAGGGAGGGAGTGGGACAGGTGTGAGAAGCCAGAAGGAAAAGCAAAGGTCTCCTGCTACCTGGGTTGGAGTGCAGCATCTGGGGTGTAGGTGGCCTTTGTGGCCATCGCCTACATGGTGGGGATAAAATAATTTACCCCAGAAATACACTCTGAAAAGTGGCTGTTGCTATGAACTGCCTCACCTGGTCAAGCCCTCCACTCGACTGTTCTCTGGTAGGCACAGGTGACAAGCCATCAAGTGTCACAAACCAGTCAGTGTGAACAAGGGAGGCACTTCTGGCTCTGGGTGTTGGAGCTTAAGCAGGTTAAGGCAGATTTGCTTGGTCCTGGCACGCTGGAGGGTGTGGGGGGCTCTGTGATGGGGGTGCTGGGGGGTGCAGGGGGCTCTCTGATGGGGACACTGGGGGTGTTGGGAGTGCAGAGGGCTGTGTGACAGGGCTGATGCTGCAGAGGACATGGCTGGCAGTGGGCACTGAGGCAGGTGCAGTGTGGAGGTGTTTCAATACTCACTCCAGTTTGGGTTCTTCTTGTAGTTGCAGTACTCGGCCCCCGCGGGCAAGGGCTGTGCATACTGGGCGCAGCCACATGAGTCCACCATGGCCTTCTGGAAGCAGGAGTGCAGGCAGATCTGGGGAGAAAAAACAGAGCTGGGGGCTAAGAGGCAGCACCAAGGTCCAGGCTCCTGTGCACCTAAAAACATCCTGCTTATGAGAGTAGCAGGATGGGAACCCCATTTCTCAGGACCTTCAGGCTCTGCTGTGAGTGAATACAAACACAGGCAGAAAGTGCCATGGAGGGTTGAGACTCTAGTGCAAGAGATAAGAATACAATTCTCTTTGAGGATTATATATATATGGGGTTCTGTGAATGCCCCCGCTTCCCCTACAACCACCGAAAGCTTCGCTGTTGTGGTTGCTCTTTCCAGAGCCAAGGAGAAGGTTTTTGGCCTGCCACGGCACATTGCCCATGAATCACCAACTAGGTGTGTGTGGGAAGTGACTCACAGGAGAAAATGTTCACAGCTTCCACCAAACTCTGGTAGTGCCTACTGGGAGACCTGAAGCTATGAGGGTTAATAGGGCAGCAGAGCTGTGGTTTGTGCCAGAACACTGCAACACGCAGGAACTGAACTTCTCTTTGAAATCCCAGTCAAGCCTTTTGGTCCCAGCCCTCATAAGCCCTGAGTTTTGGTGAAGTACTGTTATTAAAAACCTGAGATAATGTCTGTATGATCTTACTACATCACAGCAGATTTCATATTGCCCATGAAATACAAATCCAGGCTAGGCCTGGGCTTTGCAGCAGGCAGCAGCTAATGTAAGTACAATTCTTCAAGTGGAGAGTGTGAGAACAACTGACATTCTCCAAGTGGACCCAATTACAGAAACCATGCAAAATTAGTGGAAACTTACTCTGTAAACAAACATCCTGCTATCTGGATACTGATTAGATGGTATCTGTTATTCTTGGAGTCCTAAAGGTCACAATTTCTAGCTTCAAGGGTTACTAAGCTGCAACCTTTACTTGGCCAATATTTTCCAGTCTCACATTGCTTGAAAATTGCCTAATGAGCTCATGTTCTCTCTTTATCTAACAGGGTGCCTGAGGGAACTTCAAACAGCAACCACTTAAGAATAAAAGTTGTATTTTAAGAAGTGCTGTGGCATTTTACATCAGTGGCTAAAGCAGCCACCCTGCACCTGGACTGCTCCCAATCTTGGGTCCTGAACCACAGAATATTATAAAGCTTTTCATGCAGGTAGTTTTCAAGCAACTGATAAAACCAAGTGTAATGGATTTACCTGGAGGGAGTAGCTCTTGTTATAGAGATTTTCCACGGGTATGTCAGCTCCTGTCTCCGTGCAGTCACTGTAGGGTTTGCTCAGCTTACGAGACCGAGTCTGAGAAGCAGAAAAGAATGAATCTTGGTTTTTTTGAGTTTGCAGAGAGACCAAAGGACTCAGTGGCACTTCATCACAATTCTGAAACTGTAAATGATGGGGCAGGTAGGATTTTTCAAAGCAGAGTAATTCACACGTATGTTCTCTCCTAGTCCTAGAGGCTGTGCATCCTTCAGCCTGGATGTTTGTGTTCTGAGGGAGGGGGGTTGTTGGCTGGGGGTTTTGGGTTGTTTTCTGTGAGTACCCCCACCTTTACAAGCTGTTGTTGCAGTGTCTGCTCCTGTGCTGTGGGTAAACAGCACTTGAGGCTCCACTAGTGCTCAACAGCACCTCTCTGAAACCACTCTAAATGAAATGGTTGTGTCTCCTTCAGGCCTTTTTCCAGGTGCTGCTTTGACCCTTACTCTCGAATGCTAAGGCCTTTTCCTGTTCTGCAAACTGCCCAGAGCAAAGAGCTCTGAGATGCCAAGCCTGTGCCTGCAAGGTCTGTGAAACCAAGGCTGGGAGCCCTCAGATTCCCAAGACCTGATTCCAGCTCCATCACCCGTTTCCTGCAGACTGCCTCACCTTCCTCAGCCCTTGTTATCTTTCTGCAGTAATTATCCACTTTACAACAGAGTGGCTTGAAACCACAAAAAACATCCATTTAAGAACCCATTCACCCGTCTTTCTCTACAGAGTTTAAAATTAGAATTAAAAATTCTATATAAAGGATCAATTTACCAGGAACCTGAGAAATGGTGGTTACTTTTAAGGCACTAATTGCAGCTCCTCAGGTTCCTGAGGTCACAGCTGACAAGAGAAGGCTCTGGGCCTGCATGGTGCAAGTCAGTGCTTTTAGAGATGCTCAAACCCCTCTTTGGAGGGAAAGATATGATTTCAGTCTTAGAAATGCATCATTTCTGAAACTGAACGAAACCAGCTTTTAATGTGCTTTTAACTTCCACGAACCATGTAGTATGCCTGGACACTGCCTCAGTGTGCTCCTCCAGCTTCCAGATGATCGATCCTTTGTATAAAATTATTTTGTTGTGGCTTGTAGTTTACTTGTTCCTTCAGGTAGTGAAATAATTTCCAAATTAAATATTTAACCAGAGCACTGTAACTCCAACCAAGCAATGCCTTGTTTGCATTCCAAATATCTTGGAATGTTTTTGGAGGGGGGGGCAATCCTAGTACCCAGCAGAAACCCTTGAGTGATAACCAGACACTGATGCTGCGTTTGGAGCCCAGCAAGCAGCACCACGTGTGACACACATGCTGTGTCCTCCTCTGTGTTCCTGATCTGGGTACAAGGACTGATCCAGCAACTCAGTGCTGCAGCCCTGTCCTGACAATTGTGACCCCTCTCAGCAGGCTCTCTGGAGTTGTCCTTTCCCGGAAGGACCATGATCACCAGCTTTTGTTCTGAGACCAGAAATTGTATCCAGTTTCTATTTTGGCTGCCACATCAGGATGCAACTGGATCCCTTCCTCATGCCACGTCTCTTAAATACAGACACTGAGACATGCTCAATCTTGTTTTTTATACTACAGCAATGTACAGTCCAAACCCACGTGCCAGGAAAACATTACATTAAATATTGAGACTTTCCCTGCAGCGACTGTACAGTGTGATCATTAGAGGAAACGGTCTTGTGAGACTTTTCCTCCTCTCACCGACCTGGTTTGCAAACCTTTCAGTCACATTTGACCAAGCAGTTGCTGCTGCAGTTTTCCAGACAGCTGGAAGACAGTTAAATATTTGCACATTTTAAAATATCAGCCCTCTTATGTCTTTTCTAATGCAGAGCCTATCTCGATGTGGCACACCCAGATAAGCAGGATGGCCGATGCTCCGACCCGACCATCAGGAAGAAAGGCAGAGCTGAAGTGCTCACTTAACAGCCCATCCAGATAAAAGGGATCTGGCACAGCTTTCACTGCTCTGCTGAGGAACGAAGCCCTTTGGGTCAAATGCCTTGTCTGAACTACGCCAAATGGGAAAATTGGGAGCTGCAGCCCTCCTTGCCCTTGTCAACAGCAGGCAAGATGTTTCACTGCGCTGGCAAAGGTAGAGCTGCTGCCCACGAGGGTGTTTTTACAGCCGGGATAGACAGAAATCCAGAAGAATGAGGCTTGCACCCACAAAACAGTTACACGGGCTGTGCTGCCGCCGTCCCTGCAGACCCAGCCCAGCAGAGGACTCACAGCTCCCCATCCTCCTCCCTGGGACCCGCGCATGAAACCCGCTGCTCATTGCTAAAGCCAAACGAGGCACCTGACAACGCATTTCTGTGGTTGTGGATTTTGCTGTGAAACCGAATTCAAAAATCCCCTGGAAAGCCAAGGAGTGGGAGAAAAGGGAGAACAAACAAGATCCCAGGAGCTGTTGCATTTATAAAGACCTGATTTTCCCACGGCCTCTTTTGTTCAGAAAAGTGCTATCACAGGATTTTCCTCAGGGCACTTCAGCTGCTGAGTGGGAGGTATTTAGAAGCCTTCCAGCTGCTGGCTCCCTGCAAACACCCCATCAATTCCTATTTACAGCTCTCCCAAGGCAAAGGTACACCTGGAAAGGAGACTGCTGCCACTCACAAAGTGCATCCCTATGGAGGTGGCTGCTGCAGTCTCAATTTCCGTGCCAATGTCTTCGATGAAGGGATACTCATTTTGGTCATGGACAATGATCTTGGCTCCTGTGGACGTCACCAGGAAGGGGTTGTAGTCTGCTTCGTCAATGTACAGAACAACCTGCAATCCTGAACCAGAGACAAGGCAGAACAGTTACACCAGGAGCTAGAGCTGCGTTTTCTGGTCAGGGAGGGCAGCACAGTTTATTTAATGTTATCTGGCCTTAAGTAGAACTGTAACAGCCAAGCCCAGCCTCTGCTGGGCCAGACTCAGACAACTGCAGCCAGTAACATCCCTCGGTGGCCCCGAGTACAGCAAACAAATAAAACCTGCTGGGAACGTGGCTGTAACTCACTTAAAAAAGTTATATAACTGGGCAGCAGTGATTTCAGCTGGAAAACATTAGTGATGCAATGATATTATCTGTATTCTCAGGCAAGAGTTTGCACTAGTTCAAACAGGCATTTCCCCAATCAGCCTGTACATCTACAGCCAACACATCGCTCGTGCTCCAGCACGATCCAGTTCGCTGAAACACTTGTTATCAAACAGTTCCTCTGCAAACAGCCTCAGAACAACATACCTGTACAAACTGCCCAGGAACAACACACGTGTGCAAACCAGCCTGGAACAACACGCCTGTACAAACTGCCCCCACTCACCGTACTCGCTGCCGCCCGTGGAGGTGCTCAGGATGGTCCCGTTCTCACCGCTGTTGAAGGTGTAGCAGTTGCCATGGAGAGGGTGGTGGAAACGAGTGAAGTGCCTGGAAGAAATCGACTTTTGTGACATTGCTACCTGCAGTTCTGTCTGTGGGAGAAAAGCAGCACGTTTGGGCTCTGGTTTTGGCAGAGACAGACCAGGACTGCATGAGGGGTTAGTTCCTTCCTTCTAAGCAATTTATTTTGCTGAAAGGTGTGTCTCTTTCTGAATATCTTGAAACTACGTGGCACTATGATCTGCTTTAATAGATCAGGAAAAGGAAATTTGAGGAGATTTTCATGTGGGAATGGGGGCTGAAAAGGTGGGGAAAGTGGATTCACAGAACTAGCAGGAAGGGGGGATACACAGAGCCCTCTCCCATCTGACAGCCAAGTGTCTACAGGCACACTATCGTTCCCATCTACAACTGCTCCCCTGGGATGCCTCTCCTGCTAGCAGGACACATAGGAATTGCACTGCCACAACCACAAGTAGGTAGATTTGATTCTGCCAAGGATAAACATAGGTTTATCTGAAATGTGGACAGCAGAACACTAAGACAAATGAAATCAAGGAGCATAATTAATTTCAGGAAGATGCAAATGTTTGCTTTGATTTAAAAAATGGCAGTGGTTCCTGCTGAAATTCAGCAAATACCAAATATTCCATTCCTACATATTATGGACTTGGAAATAAGCTGTTAGCTGCCAGGAATTTTCTGTGCACTGACCTTTTGTCACAAGATAGGCCATCAAAGAAACATGTCAGTAGAAGGTCATCAGCAGAATAACTCAATTTTTCTTTCGTCTCCAGGGGAATTTGTGCCATGATGTTCATGTAATGCAGCTTGTACCACTCCTGGATAGCATTAACCCCCGAACTGAACGTGTACAGGGCACACTCACTGCTGTTGTTCGCGTCGCACTGACAAGCACAAAAGGGGAGAAAGGGTTTCACATGGAATGAAATCCTGGATTCTAGAAGGTATGTGTGACAGTGTTTCTCTTCCACAGAAATAATCACGTGTGAAGTTACAGTGGCACAAACGGGCATCAAAGACCTTTCATTCAGGGCTAAGCGATATGACCAAATGCTTTAGGCCCAAAGGAAAGGTCACAGAAGGCACTAACTTTATTTGGGAAGACTTCAGGAAGGTATTTCCCTTCCAGGGAGTTGGAGGTTAATCTGCAGCTGCCATGGAGGCTTGGGCAGAAGAGCTGACAGTTCACAATAAAGGCACCTGAACAGGCAATTAAACTGGACAGAGGGACACTGACCCCAAACACCCCTTCGTTTCCCCACAGGGAACTTGCTGGCCAGGGCACAGTGACACTCACCAGCTGAAAGCCAATGATGTCATTGGAATCACCCGAGTTCACAATGGACGAGTCTTTGTGAAAGACACTTCCCTCTATTTTCCTCTTCTGCCCACTGTGCAGGTCTGTTGCTGTCCTAGAGAAGTCCTCGACCTTCAGCAGAGGGATCTGTTGGAAGAAGTCACTCCCTGTGCTGTTCCACTCGTCCACTGACCGGCGCACCTTGGTCTTGCCCTCAGAAAATCCGTAGAAAGTCTCCAAAGCTTTTTTTGTCTCTTTGTCCAATTCAGATAAATATTCTTTCATGGCACTGTACCTGCATGGGAGACAATGTGACACAGTGACGCCCCATCCCACCTCACCGCCCAGCCGCTGTGCATCCCATGGCTCAGGACAGAATTCCTTGTGGAGGTCTCACATCACTCTCTTACACTGGTGAGGGCAGACGCAGCTATGTCCATGGAGAGATCTCAGAGCAAGGACCACAGGAAGCAGAACAGACTGAAATACAGAGAAAGCCCTCCCAAGATTTACAAGCTCCTCGTGTTAGGAAGCCCAAGAAGGCAGAGCATGTGGAAATAAGACTTCTGCATCTATGTAGAGGTACCAGAGAGCTGGATAGCCTGCGGGAACCAGTGTGGGGAGCTGGCAGCAGAACAGACAGCAGCATAAAGTGTGATTTGACAGGAGAAAATGTACTGCTGATGGATAATGTCAAAGCATCCCACAAGGAAAGAAAGAGGCAACAGAGGAGTGACAGATGTGCCCTTTCTATTCTTCAAGAGATGCTGCTGCTTGTAATCGTCAAACTTTGGTCCTGGGAAGAAGGGAATTTGAAGAGAACCAAGGTGCTGATAGGGACTGTCTGTAGCAGAAACTGAAATGGACCAAGCCGAGCTCAGAAGGCAGGTGAGGGGTGTGAGCGTAACCCACATGTGCCTGACGTGCATCAACACAGAGCGGGAGCTGCGCTCGAGGTGCTGCAGAGGGAAAATGCTGACGAGCAGCACTGGGCCAAGCCCGGGAAGGGGTTTGGTGCTGGGCTGGCGGGGGATGATGGACTCACTGGGAGCCCTGGCCGGTGACCCCCTTTGTCCTCCTGGCAGCCCCCCGGGTCTTACTTGTAGGGGTTGATGTTGCAGATGGTGACGGCAGGGAAGGGCAGTTTCTGGAACTGGACGGTGACGGAGACCGAGGCGCTGTAGTAGTTCATGAGGAGCTCCGC